TCTCAGGACAGACAGGAGAGTCTAAGCTAATAGCATTAATGAATGGAGGAGCGGCTAGTTGGTTAACTAACTCTGAATAATGTGTTTCTTACGGGGCCACTCGGGCCACGCGTGATGGATGGCCTTACAGAAGCCGGGTCAATTAGCCAGGCTGGGTTTCCCTCCGTGTCGGCGGCAGACAGCAGCACCGGGAGAGCCTCCCTCCGCCTCTGTCACCAGGCCGGCCTGTAATTAATCACCAGCGTGAGGCCTTCTCACCTCACGCAGCCGCGCGCACAAGCAGCCAATACGCAGGGTTTGGCCTAAATTACATCCCCCACTCCTTTAATCTGGCTAATTGTCGATATTAAGCCCAGAGGAGGAGAGAGATCGTGACATTTAAAAAAAGTTCTCTTCAAACCGACAACCAGATCTATAAGACAGTGCAGCGTGGAAACCGCTTAATTTATTAGAGGAATCCAAATATATGACAATTTCCCTTTAACTCCAAGGCAGGCAGACCCAAGGCATGAATAGAAAGTGAAACAGACATGAATATCTAAAGGCTAAATGCACATCAGGGTCCTACAGCCTGGCTTTATCTTACCTCTAGCTTCACAACACACAATAAATCATCAACTTATAAGTCAGTTTAACTAAATTGAGAAGCCTAAATGTTGTATTAACTAAATATATAAACATTTATAATCTCAACTAATGTTACATTTCCCACTTTACAAACATGATTCAATTGAAATTAAGAATATAAATCAAAAGGATACAGCTTATGATAAAGATGGACCAATGATTAGGATTATCTTTAAACTATAGAAGGTCCATAGTTCACATCCCGATACCACCATGAATTAAAAGAAACACTGTGTAGATAAAACTGTCAAATCAAAATACAAGTTAAGTAAACTAAATGATTAAAACTACAACTATACATTTAGAACTTAGTCAACTTTAAATGTCCAGGCATCCTGGACACTAACTTTTCTTAATTAAAACAAATCGTCTTTAAGGTTTTTTATTTTACATTGCAGGTCACAGTTAAACATCTACAGTGTACTTTCTTGATTAGCTTAATGCACAATCTGTTAAATGCTAACACTGGAGTCGCTCTCTGTCAACATAAAAAAAACACTGGTGTTACTTCAGCCATTTAAAACATAACTGACTCCAGTCAACAATTAATCAAAGTAAATGTCTGTGCATGTTCTAAAGACTTAAACAGGTCTATATGTCCGAGCTTGAAATTCATTTATTATTATTTAAAATACTAGAATTGAGGTTTAATTCAGCGGCACCGTACCGCACTGACAGAAGCCTGAAAATCTTTTATTTAAATATTAAATTATTATTTTTTTTACATTATCCTGGGGCCCAAAGTCTCAGGCGGTGCTCCTGGTTAAATTGACATGTAGTGTGAATATATGTAACTGTGACATATGTAAAACAAAATCTGATATTTACCATTATAAAACAATCATGTTTTGTATACTATTCAATGAAGGATGAAGATGTGGACATAACAAGAAAAACAAATTAACCTTTTAAAATGTAATTTCTCTTCTGGGCATCATCTAACCCCATGAAGTTGTTACTTTGCTTCTCTGTTCGTTCTCTGCAAACACCATAGTCAACACAAACACACATAAATGCAAACACACATAAATGCAAACACACATAAACGCAAACACACATAAACACAAACACACAGCAGCACAGATTGAGGGGCAGGGACAGAGACGTCACTCTGTGCTCACAGAACTCACTCCTGCGCTCGGGACAAAAGCAGCAGGCTGACAGATGAGGTTTGTGTCTGGGGGGGGGCAGGAGAGCTATGTGTTGCTGTGTGTGTGTGTGTGTGTGTGTGTGTGTGTGTGTGTGTGTGCTTATGCATTTGTGCATGCATGCATGTCTGAGTGTGTGTGTGCACCTATATGTGTATATGTGTGTGTTAACATGTGTGTGCATTTTGTTGGGGGGGTGGGAGGGCAGGGTTGGTCTCATGGGGCAGCTCTGTGTCTGTCCCATCTGCCACCCCACTCTACTGACACCCAGGGGAATGGCAGAAAGGGTGGGGGGGGGATTCATTTTGCAAAAAGGAATCGGGGGTCCAGCGGTCTAATGGGCAACAATACAGATTTTTACTGACGGGCCAAAGGCAAAGGACACCGGCTGGGTGTGTGAAGCCAATCTATTTGACAAAACAGTGCGGGCCACCCCTGTCAAGCTCTGCCTCGGTGTGCCTAATAAGGCACGCACACCCCCTGAAAATTATGCTTCAAATGAGAACGGGGTGCACTGTATTTTTATGCACACACAGACGCTGCATACACCCGGGGCTAATGTCATCCTAATGCATGGCCGTGCTGTGGCCAGAGGGCTAATTGGGTATATAAACACAAACACATCCCCTGAGAGGCGGGAGGGGGCAGGATGTGTTTTGTGCTATATGCTCCCCCATGTTGCTACAAAGAATATTCTGTAACTTAAACATGGAGGCTCATCAGTGCTCCAGCAGCATCGATAATGAAAGATGACATGGTGTTTGCTCTCTCACACACACACACACACACACACACACACCCCAGCAGCTAGAGATGCTCTTTTCAAGCCAGTGCTGTGTACAGCGTGATGTGGATCGACTCAGTGGCAGGTGGCATCTCATCCTGTCTTTATCCAAACTGTGATCAGAAGACGGTAAACGGCGCCGAGAAAACAAACAGCGGCGACAGTCACAGTCTTGTGGAAGGGAAGCATATGGCTCTTGCACCGCTGGGCAGAAGGAGCACTCAGCAAGATGAATGCTGAGGTGCTGGCAACAAAGCTGACTCTAACTTGTCAAATTAACAGCACATCAAAAGAGAGAGAGAGAGATAAGAGGAGGAGGAGGGAGGAGGGAGGAGGAGGCGGCAGAAGCAGCGTGAGCTTTTTTTGACAAGTGCCACTTGATGGTGACAAAGACGGCACAGAGAGGAACAGTGACTCCCCGTCGAGGTCGGATCACAGAGAGTGTCAGCAGACGTTTGAAGTCTCTCGCTGAGTTGTTGATACACTGTTTGTCCGTACATGTCTCAAAAAAAAAAAAAAACAGCCACACAGACTTGCATCCACTGGGTGCCCACCCTGCCCCCCTCACTGCTTTGAGCGCTATGTTAATGAAACAGTTGCTGTTTCCTGGCATAACATTAATTACCCGATCAAAATAGAGTGGGTAATTAACTGCCCTTCTTTACCAGTGCTAATTACATTAGCAGAGAAGGGCCATTTCAGGAGAGCAAAAGAGAGGGGAGAAAGACAGGATGAAGCAGCACCAAACAAAGCCTTAGTGAGGCACATGTCGAAGCCTGTGTGTGTGTGTGTGTGTGTTGAGAGAGAGGAGGAGGCCACGTTGGAGGGAGACTCGTGGTTCTCACTCGGGCCCCTAGAGGCTCGGTCCTCAGAGAACAGCAGGCTTATTGGAGAGGAGAGAGATGAGGGGAGGGGGGGGGGGGGGTGTTGTTTATCTTGACATGCTCTGCTCAGTCTTTAAAGCTCGCATCACAATTAAGAAGCTGCGGCTCATCAGCTATGTATACAAAATGTGTAGCAAGCTGCACGCGCACAGGTGATGGGAAGAGAAAAAAAAAAACCTGAGATGTGGAGGAAAAAAATCTTGATGTCCAGGAAATGTACGTGTGTGACTTCTCAAAAATAAACCAAAACATCTCAGACAAGCATGAGTGACTTTTTTTCTCATTTGTTTTATTTGGAGCACAAAATATAATTACACCTTAAGATATACAAATCACATTTGCACAATTTTTTTATTTTTGTACCGTTTCAAAAAAAAAACAAATTAAGGAAAAAAAGATGGCTTCAAAAACATAATATTAAAAATTGGTAATAAGTTTTTAAATAAATAAAATAAACCAAACTCTAGAAACAAAAAATTTTGCGAAATGTCAGCTACTCTGTGTGTTCTTTGTGTTTGCACATCCTGAGAATGAAGTTTGTGTCGCGATGAGAGAAATCAGTGAGGACGAACAGCACGATGTGGTACGTCTTTTCTTTTCTGTTCCGCTGCAGCTTGTGCTTTCATTTACTGTACTGCATAGTGACTGGAGACCTGTGCTTTGTTGGGACATTTAACTGCAGAATCTTTTTTTTTTAGGGTCATATAAATGCAACATAAGCAATGTGGAATGAAATAATATCAGGACGTTGTTGTGACAAAGCATGCATTAAAAGTGAAAGTAAAAAAAGATAAGGCTAACTAACATCCTTTATGCAAGAACCTGAAAACTGGTTGTTTTTATTCCAAAGTAGTGCATCAGAGTCGATCCTCTCTGACAAAAAAAGCAAATCCCTGTGAACATTTAGCAAATTAATTAGCAATCGTTGAGATAACTTCATTCCGCCACAGTTTGAAAAGGACCACTTTATAAAAACACGTTTATATTATTCCCCTAAACTAACTATAATAAGTTAAATTGTTGTTCTTAAATAAATCAATATATGAATTCCTTTAGTAATAACCCTTGAGACAAAGAGTTTCTCCCTTGTAAAACTGTAGAGATCAGAACAAAAAATAAAGGGTCTATTTTTCTGGAATGTAAATTGTCTTCAAAAGTCTACTACAAAAAAAGGCTCTCGCTAACTCACAGACAGTGAACACACATGCCATTTAAGGTGTCCATACACAGACAAATAGCACCCGCTTGTCAGAGCTGCGACATTTGATCAGAGTTCTCCTTCATCCGGCGATTTTGAAATGCTCTCTGGCGCGTCTCTGGTCGAAGTTTGGGCAGATTTTGAAGATCCATATACTGCATGTGATGTATGCCAGAGATGCGTCGACGCTCCCCCACTGAAAATGTTCTTTGCTTCCTTTTAAAAATGCAGACACGTGATGACAAACACAGTCATACACGAGCCAGTCAGGTGCTGTCAGCTAAGGAGCTGTCTGTCTGTAGTTGTGGGGGGTGGGGGGGACCTTGCCTCTGGTCTTTGGACATTTTTAAACCCCGTCCTGTTCATCCACCTGCATAAAAATAGGGGCTAAGAAATGGCCAAGTGGGTATGCTCAGGAAGGAAGTTCAAACATGGCTGCTAGAGATCAATTTTCCATCCTCCCTGCCCTCTTAATGCCAACAGAGGGGCTAAGTGTAGCAGTGGTCGGGGGGGTAGACTGAGGCGGGTGCTTTGCTACATCGGGTGAACAACCAGGCCCGTCATCGCTGAAGAGAAAAAAATATACAAAAATCTATGATTCTAATCAACCAGCTCTTGCATTATTGTACATCCAGCAACTGTGTTTTTTTTCTTTCTCGTTCAGGCAAAGCTTTGGAGTGGTTAGTAGAAGGGGTTAGACTGCATTGGTGAGTTCAGACAGCGGGGTCAGATAGTGAGTCGGGTGGCTACCTCTGAAGCTGTTCCCCCCTGAGGCGGGGCAGGCAGGGGAGGGGGAGCCCTGGGGCCTGAGCACCGGAGCAAAAGCACTCTTCTGTTTGGCGGCAGACGGGAAGGAGGAGAAAGGCAAGAGAGACGAAGAAGAGCTGGAGCTGCCTGGTATGGTGGGGCTGGAGGGCATAACTGTGGAAAAGTGGGCGACAGTGAGTCTCAAGTCGGAGCACACAACAGAAACATGGAGATAAATAAACACAAACGTTTGTTGTTTTCACACATGCACAAAACTGCTTAAATTTCCTGAATTTCTCCACTTTTCCCTGCCAGACCTCGTCGTCAGGGTGAGCCTATGTGTGATCGAACAGGTAATAAAGACGTTTATATTATGCAACCAGTGCGATAACTCTGCATGTAATGGAGCTGCTCGCTGGTACGTTCTTTTTCCTTTCGTTGATTCTGCGAATACGTCCAATAACTTGTACCTTTGATATACAGGGGACAAAAAACCTAAAATGTCAGACTTGGTTGCTTCTTCTGCCATCTTGGATTTCTTTGATTTCGTCTTGCCTCCTATTATGATGATGCGTTAGGAGGATTCTTTAGCGGTAGGCGTGGTTGGTAGGGGAGAAGCAGGGTCAGTACTGATGTCACACCTGGGGGGTGGCTCTGTCTCTGTAACCTTAAATAGCAGCACCTGCGGGAATTGGTTTTGAGTGGAAGAGACGCCACGAGGAAGACGCTGGGACGCAAGACACCTGAGAGACTGAATCTGAAGAAAGGTTTGTTTTTGTGTCGACACTTCACGGCTTCTTTTTGCACATAAATCTAAACTGATATGAAAGACACTCCTGACAACCCAGAGAAACAGAGAAAATGTGTGAATGAGCAACTCAGGGATATTTCAGGTGCAGGCTGACCTGAAAAATTCTAGAAATTTTCAGGAGTGCATGTGTGAAAAAAACACTTTAAGGACAATGTAGTAGTCTTACTGTAGGGAGAGCCCGTCGGGGAGGCACTGCTGAAACCAGGAGAGCCAGGTACTCCCAGGCTGGTCATGGGAACCGTTCCATAGCCTCCAGTCATCCCTCCACTGCCCCCATAGCTCGAATGCTGAGGAGTGGAGGCTGATGGGTAACCCCTTGGAGACAAACTGCTGGAATTTCTAATGTAACCTGGAGGAAAAAAAAAAGATGATCATGGAGTCAGATCTGAACTGCATGAGAGTCAAAATGAGTCCAGCATTGTTTGTTCTCTCAGTCTGCTCACCCTGGCTGCTCTGTCCGGGGTCTCCGAGGCTGACGCCTAACTGAGAAGGATAGGAACCCAGGCCCATGACGCTGCCGTGTGCCGGTGAGCTGGGCAGCGCCTGCAGCTGGCTGTGAGGACGAGGAACGCTGTAGAGCGCCTCAGCGATGTCGGCTGCACGCTTCAGCAGCATGTCCTAGAAGACACAACCATTCAGACTGTTAGAAAAAATGCAGTTTAAATGAAAAGCTCCGCCTCCTCCGCAGAATATGTTAGCTTCTGTTGCAGGGATTTTTTTTTTTGGCTTCACTTTTAGACAACAGGAGGAGGAGGTGGAGATGTGTCATCCATATTTATACAGTCAATTAGAAACATGTGAACCTAAGGTGTAGTCTTCTAAAAAATCAGCATGATCTCTGAGAAAAGTTCTAATGTTATACCAAAGCTGCTTCTGTTTACCTGATTGCTGTGCGGGTTTCCGTACAGAGCCTCGACAAGATCTGCTGCTCTCTTCAGGAGGATCTCCTACAATGAACATGATTCATAAGATTAACATCTTATTAAGAGTGCAACAAGCACAGTCACAGAAAAATCACATTAAGCAATGCTAAAAATATATTTCTTAAAAGGTGTCTCTAACCTTGGCGAGTTTTTCTGGGTCACCTGGATGTCGGGGAATGACCTTTTGAAGGCGCTGGAAACCGTAATCTATAGTGGGCTCATTTAGTGCTGAAATAAAAAACAAGGATCATCGATTAAAAGTCATCAAAAGAAATCTGTTTTCACACCATCTATCTTCTCAAACGTTCAGTCCACCTTTGTGATTTCTTAAAAAGGTGTGTTGTCTGATTACCTGTGTAGATAAAGCGTCCTGGCGCTCCCTTGCAGAATTGTTTAGATTTATAAGACAGTGTGACCTCCACCACCCGGGGATGTGTCGAGGAGGTGTCTGCACACGGATGGCGTGCGGTGTGATCAGCTGAGGAACACAACAGAACATCATGTCACAAAAACATCCACAAACGACTCCCTGCGTGCACTGTAAATATTTAGGCTAACACAGAGAGATTAATTTGTACAGCCTGCCCATAAATCATTTAAATAACGAGACAGGCCATATGCTATAAATATCATTCTAAAATATGTTTCATAGTGTAGCGTCATTAGCGAGATGTTTGGGAGACAACTCCTTACCTCACTCCACACCAGCATGCTGCCAAACACCACCTGCAGCCCGTCAAAGAAATTCTCCCCGATGACGATGACCATGGCCCCGCCGGTGGTCCAGCCCTCACTGGGGCTGATGGCTTTGATGCACGGGGTCGCTGCACAGGACAGCAGAGAGAGAGAGAGAGAGAGAGAGAGAGAGAGAGAGAGAGAGAGAGTTAGTGAGTTACTCTAAGGGTTAAATGCAGAATGCACACCAATTGAAAAAAAAATCAGAAAGATAATTCTTGAAAAGTCTGAGTTGTTCTTGTGTGAAGCGTTGTTGAAGTAGAGTTAAAGTAGAAGAGGGAAGAAGGAATGGGGGTAATGTACATTTTGAAATTTGTATCATTGCATAAAATATTCTTGAGGAAAAATAAAATAAGTTCAGTTTTTTATCTCCAGAGGTTTGGCGGCTGTAATTCTGTCCATGTGTCTTGTATCCATGAATAGAAGCAAAAACTTCTTGAAGAATAAGACGTTGGATAAATGATTGTAAATAAAGCAATGCATTTACTACAGTACATATATAGTGGTGAGACATATCGGCACTGAGACACTAAAACATTGGTGGAGAATGTATCATGGTGTTTTTCTGATTATAACAATGCAACAGTGTGAAAAGACCTAAAAAGCACTTGTTTAAAAGTTTAAGATCTTTACTTTAAAGCTCCTGTGAGTGTCGAGTTTGGCGCCCCCTGTGGACTAAGCATCGCCTCGTTTCTCTACTGATTTCGTCCTTTACTTTAGGCCCGGTAACCTAGTGGTGAAACAAGTGCCCCATGTACGGAGGCTGGAGTCCTACAAGCAGGCGTCCCGTGGTTCAAACACGACCTGTGAATCCTTTTCCCACATCTCTCCCCTGATTTATGACTCTCTCCATCTACTATCCAATAAAGGCTTAAAAAAGCCCAAAACGAACCTTAAAAGAAATCTCATCCTGCTTTCTTTAAACAGTTAAATGAGAAATCTTTGTCTTGGAAAACGTCCAAAAAATCTGTTTTTGCAGCGTGCACTCAATCAACTTTGTCTGACACCTACCACACGTCGAAGGATTCAGGCTTTAAAAACAACAATACAGCAACAATCAGTCTTCTGCTGATGGTCTCGTTTGTTTTTGTAGCTCATATTAGAGGCATCTGTATTAATATTAGTCACAATCATGACCAGATAAAAACTCCTCGCAGGAGCTTTAAAGGCTGGCGGAACAAAACCCCAAAAATACTATAAAACCAAAATCAAAGTCCTGCAGGCTCAAGCACAGAAGTGACAGACTGTGACTTGTCCTCCTTTGGAAGGCAGATTATTTTGGCTTTAACGACAGCTAAACGCATATCGCTGAAACAGTGGAGGAGAAAATCTAAAATATAAAGAGATTTATTTGACCTGGGTAAAATAAGTGTGTGTTTGTTTATCCCCGTGGTGTGAGATTTGATTCATCTTTAAGGCTTTGTGAAATGTGCTCTTATCTGTTGCCCCATGTTGGAAAATCATTTCATAGATTCTTAAAAAAAGAAAAAAGAAATGTTTTATTGTAACGTTGTCGTTGAAGCTATTTTGAATCCTCGTCTAAATTTGATTCAACAGCGTAACAGCCCATCACATGTTGTAAATTAACAAAGTAACTCGTAACAGCTGTCAGCCGTCAACAGTTCACCTGACAGATTAATGAATCAAAGTTTTCATGACTCAAAATGAATGTAAATAAACAGTCCTTCCTTCACAGCAGAGATTATTTTAACGTGTGTTCATTGGTTTAGAGATAACTGAGATGCGTTTACTTACAACTGGAAATAGATCCAACACTGTGTTAAATTTAATTCTTCACGCTTTAAATTCAGAAATGACTATCATCTATGCTGTGAGGAGATATAGGTATTTAATGAATGCATTAATTAGCTCAGTTAATGACCTCAGCAGCATCTCTGCTTATGTTTGATGCATCATAGTGATTATAAACGGACATTAAACAACCTGCTGTTACACTCTGTTCCTTTGGATTGGTTGTGTGTAATATCTCTGAGTGTGCATGATGAAGAAGACATGTGATGAAGTTTATTTAATAAAAAAAAAAAAAACAGATGGATGAGGTGTGACGCTGTTGTGTTGTTGTGTAGCTCACCATACTCCATGGTGTTCTCCGCAGACTCTCCCGGCTCCAGGCGGCGAGCCCTGCGGCCGTGTTTGGAGTTGTTGTGGACGAACATGTTGTCGGACACGGCGAGGACGTGGCCGTCCACGCTCACAGTGCTGGAGAGGACCACCTGAAAAGAAGACGAGAGGAAGAAACATGAGTGAGCGTGCTCGACTGAGACAGCACGTGGCGGGGTCACCATCTCCGGTTACAGAGGGCCGAATCCCAGAGCAACAATTTGTTCTCGCGCGTTCAGGTGAGAGTCATATATTTCCTCGATAGGTAATGTGACATCTCTGGGATTTTTCTACATTGTGGTGATGACACTGCTCATACGGCCCCCCCCCCCCTCACTCCTCCATCGGGGCTCCATATGGCCTCCAACTTTTTGATTCATACAGCGTGCAGCGGGCTCATCGCCGTCTCCTCCTGATCCTTCAATGACACCAAACATATGGAGCAAATCTCCCACGTTAGCCGGCCGTTAAAGTTTGGATGATATATAGTGACCCTAATTTGATTTTCTGGCCGCAGCATGTGTGTGTCCCTTCCCACATCTGCCTCGCATGGATGACACACACACACACACACACACACACACACACACACACACACATAAGTATAATTAATGAGAGGATACTTGTAGGTTTTTCTATGTGGTTATTTACGGGTGTTTATACTTTTCCACAACCTGAGTTTGATTATGTGTTTTGATTAAGAGTATGTTTTTAAGAGATTGAGAAAAGGGTTGTTTTCAATTTGACTGTAAATATTCTGTGATGTGCGTTTTTAGAAATAACAGCGGAGTTAAACCTCCTCACTCCCTTTGGACACAAACACATGGCAGTGATTTTGCAGGTGAAGAAGCATAAGAAAGAAGAGGACAGGAAGCATATGTGCTATAGGTGTCTGGGAAGAGGGAGGAGAGGCGAAAGGAAAATAACTGTAAATTATCGATCAAGCAGGAGACTCCTGTCCGGCTCTGATCACCTTTTAACCCCAGAGATGAAGCATGTTGGAGCGCCCGCATGCTCATAACTTCTCAGCATGTGTCACGTCGCAGGAGTTAAAGCAAACATGGAGGAAGAGGAAGGGACCGAGGGTTGTTTTTTTATTTTTTTTCCTGGGAGAAAGGGGGAATGCCAGACGGGGGGGTGCCGCTGGTGCTGAAAGACGGCAGAGGAAGTGAGTCGGGAGTGTCCCCTGTGACCACTTCCTGGGTCACGGAGCATGACCTCCTCCATCTGGAGCCAATCACTCAATTCCTGACAACTTCCTGAAACACCTCAACCTATTTCCTGCACCCTAGCACCCCAACGACAGTCTCCCACATATCAAGCTCCCTTTTTTTTCCGTCTCTCTGACTGCTTATTGATTTTTAACTTTCACCTCTCGCTCCCTCCTCTCGTGTCTCTTCCTGGAAGACCTCCAGAGTGTTTCTCAAAAGCCTTTTTCACACATGCACAAAACTCCTGAAAAATGTTGTTCGGTTGCATGTTTGAATACAAATGGGGAACATTTTTCACCCCCGTTGCTTCCCGGCTGAAGTGTAAGCCACTGTTTGGACGCAGCAGGAAATATTCAGGGGAAAGTAACCACGAGCGCGTGAGAGGGGGTGATGATGTTAGGATGGGACGGCGAGAGAAGGCGTTAAGGTTTTTCATGCTGCTTCAGATTCTTTTCTCTCTTTTGTTTTTCACTCTGTAATCTAGACAAAAAGTCCAGTTGACATAAAGGCAGAGACTGTCATTGTAACGCCAATATCTGTGGCTTCGTCCGTCAGTTGATGTTGAACGTTACAGTGTGATTTCAACAGAATCAACTTTTCTGCATGTCTGATCTCCCACACCATCTGTTAAAATCTCCTACTGCAAAGGACATGTGTGAAGGAGCAACTCAGGAAGATTTCATGAGCGGGCTGTTCTGAAACTTAGGAGTCCTGACCTTAAGTGAGAGTTTGAGACCTGAACCGTACTTTTAAAAAATGAAATAATGATCAAATTGTTCTGTTTTTGATTGAAGGGGAATGAATTCTGCATGACTGTAAGTACACATTTAAATTATTTCTGGCCCACATTTCACCTTCTTCCCTTTTTTCCGCTCACAAACAAGCACACACTGAGCATTCTTCCTCGTCTTTTTTTCATACCTGGAATCTCCTCATATCCCTCGGGTTTCCCGCCGTCTTCAGACAGTTCTGGTTACACTTCAGGAAAAACTTCAAGAAAAACCTGCCGGGGTAAAGAAGAGGACACTTCAGCAAATAAGAAAAGCACGTGAAAGAATCATGTATATGATTATCTGCTACTCTGCAACACGCTGACAGTCAAAGCAGACATTCATTATTTTGCAGAGATGAGTCCTGTGTGTGTGTGTGTGTGTGTGTGTGTGTGTGTGTGTGTGTGATTGTTCTCATCTACATGATTACAGCTCTGACATCAATCCCAGCTGTTTAGCGTAGTATTAAAGTCAATGTTATTACACTTTAAATCAAGTGATGAGAATTTGAAGCACAGTCCAGTGAAAGCGCCGCTGTGTTTCAAAGTAAAGTGGAGACAGTGATGTATGCCGGGGGGACTCAGGGGACCGTGGTATCCCGCAATGCCGCATTTGAACCCCCACATGGGAATGGAAAAGGGAACGGAGAAGAGACAACTACAGAGAGAGAGTGAAACGAGGAGGTGGAGCGAGAGGGAAGGAAGTGATAGAGGCACAGGCGCTGGTATGGACATGAATTTTGTTTTCAAGTATATGTGTCTCATTATGTATGTGAGTGTACTTTTGAGGGCGAGAGGCTGTGGAGACTGACAGACGCAGGAAGAGAGAGAGAGAAAGAGAGAGAGAGAGAGAGAGGGAGGTGCTGATAGCCTCTGCTACACCAAAGAAAAACCTGAGAGAGAGAGAGAGAGAGAGAGAGAGAGAGAGGTGGAATAAATAGGAGAGAGATGGAGACTACGGAGAGAGAGAGACTCCAAATCCCAGGTGTACACGGTTCGGCAACACGGGCCCGCTGCCATGGCAACGCAGCTCTGCCGCAATCCCAAAGTCCCCATGCTGAGAGGCAAAAGACAGCGATGGGAAAGAGAGGAAGGCAACAACACGAACACATTCCTTCAGTGAAACACGACGATGGTGCGAGGTGAAATAAAAAAAGAGGGCAGGTGCAGACGAGATGCACACATGGGGAGGAGAGGTGTCTCAAACAAAAGAAGAAAAACAAGCCTGGATGTGATGCAGGCAGCATTGTGATATAATTCTGGCATTCGGTGAAGTAAAATGTTCCCCCCGAACCAGATGTCCACCTCTGTCTGGTCCATGAGAAACTATTAATGTTCACATTAAACAAACAACAACAGAGCAGAAGAAGAATGCTGCAGAGGGAGGCAGCGGGTTTTTTTTCCAGGCTACACGGTTAGCTCCGATCCCACCCACACCGCGCTCTCTGCAAATATAAGTCATATTAATGGAGAGCGCTTGTTTGGAGAGCGACTTCATATTGGCCCCCACAGCCCCTCTGAACCCTCCCATCGAATACTAATCTCTCCCTCATTCTGTCAACGTTTACTCGCTGTTCTTCCATCACTCGCTCCAGCTTCCTCTCCCATGTGAACAGGGAGGGCCCCGGGTTTGAAAAGCAGCGCTCGCTTCCAACAGTGTGTCCAATATTTCTTGATTTGAGATATTTTGTTGGAGGACGATCAATATTGCCGTTGGCAAGCGCGAGATTGTAATTTATCAGCGAGAGCGCGGAACTCCAACCTCAAAGCTGCACCAGTCATCAGATTTAAGGTGGAAACATGCGAAAAGCTAAAATATGCACCTTCTCCGACTTCCTTCTTTTCTCTAGGAGTTTTGTATCTGACACCATGACAGCGTCAGTTTAACATGATTTAAATCACTTTCTACATTACACATCACTATGAAACTTAGACAGTTTGTTTCCTGACTCTGAAACGGGACCATAATCCAAAGTGTCCCGTTTCATTTTACTGCGTCTCTGGCTCTCTCCGCTGTCTGATCCCGGGCGATGATTCTTACATTATGGCTCATTTTTTTTTAAAGGCTGTATCTGCGCTTATATACGGAGGTAAATCAGAGCAGGGAGCACATTTTTGGGGGTTTGAACCATGTGCAAGTCAGGCTGTGGTTGAGCCACATTAGCCTCACTGGCTCAGGCTTGTCAGAGACTTAACGTTCATCTCAGCGGCGGTCATCCTTCATTTGACTGACTGACGCGATAGTGAGATCACCTCCCTAATTGAGAGGTTGTCTCCGTCCAGCTCAGGCTCTGTGCACCGTCGGAGGGTTCTTGACCTTGTTTGTTGACATCTTCTCATCATTCCTTGTTTGTATGACACCAGATGCCTCACACACACACACACACACAGAAACACACACATTCACATGCTTGCATGCACACTCTAATATGCCAATCCCCCCCCCACCCCACCCCACCTTTGCCCCCCTCCCAAAAACCCATTGAGTCAACTTTTCACCCCCCTCAGTTCGGACGCACACAGCTGCAAATGCTGAAATTAAAGCGAGACATTGACGCATATATTAGCATGCATTAGCCGCTTCCCCCTGCCCCACTTAACATGCAAATCTCCCAGCCCCGTCGCCTCGCACCTTCTGCCACACATTCATTTGCTGAATTATAATTAGACTAATCTTGCATAATTAATAAGAAGTCGAGGACCCTCTGTTTTTTTTTTTTTTTATCCCCTCCTCTATTGTGGTTGCAAAAGTTTAATATTGCTGTTGTTTGTTTTTGTTTGGGTAATGTGATACACCCACACACACCTCCCCATCCAGAGGGAGGAGACGAGGAGAACATGCAGAGGACTGGAGGTGAGCTGCATGTCACAGGGACATTATTTTCAAAGAGGTACACGTAATATAAATGTTCTTTACATCACAGACTATTGGATAGAGCAGCCTAAAACTGTGATTCTGTTTGTTTTTAACGGCTCTGAAGTCTGTCAAATAAAGCGAATAAAGCTAATAGGAAGCGTTTATATCCATCTCTATAACTCTGCAAACCCTTAATGAATATGCATCATTACATTTTATTTTACTCAGTTTCCCCATTTCTGTTGTTTTCTTGAGATCTTGACTTTTCTTATGTTGTTATCTCAGGATAATGAAGCTGCTCGTCTTCTGATTCCTCCCTAATTTCATCCTTTTCTTCAAGTTCTCAAGAAAATTAGCTTGTTATCACGTGGAAATCAGCAATGTTGTCTCAAGATAATGAGATAAATAAGTCAAGATCTTAAGAAAACAACAGTAATGTGCTCTTTAACAGGGAAAAGGTGTAAAATTAAATGTATGGATATCCACTCAGGGCTTCCCTAACATTGTCTCTATAAGGATAATTATTTACAGTACAAAAAGGCATTTCCGTGTTGTCGATTAATTGTTGTCTTTCACTTTGTGAAGCTGAACAAACCGAGCATTTTTCTCTTATAACAGTAAAGTAATACCTTCCTGTGGCATTAGATTTCTCTCAAATAGAACAAAAATATTTATAAAAGCACGCTTCGTGATTGTTTTTGTTCCATATTGATGACAAATTTGAAATGTAATTGAATTACACAGAGTTCGCTCCAGCCGGCGAAGGGAAACCAAGTTTTTATCTTCCAGCAGATCTCCCCTCCACAGGCTCACTTAAAACAGGAAACACAAACAAAACATAGACTCAAGTCTTAAACCTTGGGATCGTTTTCCACTGCGGCACCACAGGGACTCTGTTTTTTTTCTTTTCTGTCTTCACTTCTGCATCTCTGTCAAGGCCTCCGATCCCCTTTGTCTGCATCTGCTTCAGTTCCCAAGACTAAACACAGGGCTCGCAGTGAGAGGCCGCCGGCCACACGGTGACAACTTGCTTAACAAAAAAACGCCCAAACAGCAAGTCACTGCGCTAAAAACAATAGAAGAAATGTCGTTTTTTGTACATGTTTCCCTCCTCAGTGTGGACTCCAGTTTCACGTTTCTCACTTCTTCAGGGCATCTGTTACACATAAGTGTTACACACTCTGCTTTACACATGGCCTTAATCACGCAGAGAGCACCTCAGCAGCACAGGACCCCCAACAAAAATGTTCATAGGCATTCATCAGCACTAATCACTGTTGACATAAACTGCCTTTTCACATAGACATAAAACACATCGCCCTCTGCGCTCATTGTAAATGAAGGTTTACTGGTAGCAGCCGCTCTTCAAGCATGTGATGGTTCAAGTTAGTTACCATCACAGCTGGAAAACTTTCTCCACTCGTCTGCTGATTTTAGGTCGTCAATTTCGGACTGCTGCACCAAAAGGTGACATATTTATGATTTAATGCCAAAAAAAAAAAAATGTGAGGGGGGAATTAAGGAAAAGAATGAAGGGGAGGAGATTATCAGAATTTTTGATCAGCAGACGTGGATGCCCTGCAGCTGAAACAGAGGGGAAGTGGAAACAAGTAGAGAGAGGAGGAGACACAACTAATTCTGACTCTCTCCATTTGTTAAATGGCTAATGAGTGTGAGTAAATAGAGAGAGAGACAATGTAGGGACAGCAAGATGGAGAGGATGAGAGGAGGAAAAGACGGAGGAAGAGAATGTTGATGTCCTGTATTCAATGCCATCACTCATCAGACATCCCCCCCACCCACCCACCCACCCTGAAAAAACAAAACAGTGTCCTGACATCGCGGTGGAGGGGAGCTTAGGGGAGGGAGGGAGGAAAATTAGGAAACCAGATGTGAAGCATTAAAACATACTGACATGCAGAGGGCCTTCCTCTGCCACACTCACACACTGAGAGCACTAACTCATACTGCAGGCCCAGATGCATGCATGTCCCACACGCACGCACACACACACACACACACTCATGCAAACGTTGTCGGAGAAATACACAAGAATGAATCCTGACCTGCATGTTAACATCAGCCATGCAAAATTAAACAGACTTGCAGAAAGGTCGACTCCTAAACAAATGTGTAAAAGTCACATGTCTGTCCTTGGTTTGTTGATTATAAATATGCAATGGGCCAAAAGCATGTTAGAGCTCACAGCTGGGATTTGGATAAACTTCTGCTAAAAATCTGCAGACATATGAATGCACACGTGCTGCAAACACACTTACATGCAAACATTCTTGCAATAAGTTAATACACAAGACCTGCATGTTAACATCAGTTATATACAATTAAACAGATCTGCAGAAAGGTTGACTCCAAAACA